TCCAAAAATTTTGGATCAAACTTAAAAAAAATGAAGAACACAAAAAATATTAAGATGAACACAGAAAATTTCTAAAAAAAATTCAGATCTTGATTTCTTCTCCTGATTTCGAGCAAATCCTGCTCTGATACCAATTGTATGTCCCAAATAATCAATATTCATGTAAATCCATCAAGAACAATGGCAGATCTGAGATTTTCTTTCAAGAACACATAAGAAGGAGATAGAGAGAAAAAATCAATCTTCAAAGTCTGGTCAAACTCTCTATTACGTAAATGATTTTACAATGAGCTATTCAACTAAAATTACAAAGAACTCACCCTTCATATAGGGTCAAACAACAAGACAAAGTGAAAGTCAAACATATCTAAGAAAAGTCAAACACGATGACTTTTAAACAATTATAGACAATTTTATCTTTCAAGACGAATATAATTTTACAATGAATTTCATTCATATCAATTTTCTTTTAGAATTTTTTAGAATTAAATTTTTTTACTATTAGATTTTTTTTAGTTTAATTTTTTTTAAGTTTTTAGTTTGATATTTTTTTAGTGTATTTTTAAGTTAATTTTTTTAGTGTTATTTTTTCAGATTTTTTTAAGTTTTTCAAATTTCTTTTAGAAATACTTTGTTTTGATTTCTGGATACTAGCTTTGTTTCTTTAATCGGGATCTAATATTCTGGAATTTTTACAGGTACAAATGGCTGACCAACATAATCAATCTGACGAGGAATCCCATATTCCTTCGGTCAGATCTGATAACATTAACAACCCAAACCAGCCCACAAATAATCTCATTCCAGAGGATTCTCTTTTACCACAAAGCCATTTTCTCGAAATCAAACCCAATAACCATTCCTTCAATTTCGAAATGCCCTCCGAATACCAGATAATAGCAGAAATTTTTCGTGGACATCCCCTATCCTATGCCCTTTCTGCCCATATTTTTGTCCCGGTGATTTATCTACAACAATTTTGGAGCACGTTAACTCTTGCCAAAGACGGTGACACATATTACTTTGAAGGAAGCGTAGACGAATACATAAGTCGTTTGGCTCTAAAACGACTCCGAAGAAAATTGCGTCTACCGGGACCGGGCTCGATAGGATTTGAACCTTTAGTCACCGACGATTAACTCTGCCATGATATCAAACGATTAGGATACTCACAATGACTAATCCGTTGCAATTCAAACGGCGTTTCCTTCCGTCAATATGGCATCTTCTATTTTCATTCCTCAACCGATGCCTGACGTCAAAAACTGCTGGAGTCGATACATGCAGCAGTTCATTTCTAAAGTTCTTACACGGGATCGTATACACGCGCATCCCTTCTCTCCCACTTCACACCTCGGATTTATATAACATAGAATTCTCATCAGTACGAGTCAATGGAATGCTTTCTGTTCATATAATACATACAGCTTTGGTTGCTGGTTGGGCCATTTACGCGCTGATAATATGGAACAAACTAGTTGAGCTGGTCAATGCCAAACGGTTTCCGTCCAAAGCAAGGAATTTTGTGTCGTTTCAAAGATTTTTGCAATTATTCATTAAAGCCATGATGAACTCCAACAATGACATCCCGGCCAATGCAGGCAGTGAAGTTGGGCCTTCGTTCGTCATGACGCGTATTCGGCAACACACAGAAGTTGAAGATCTTGATTACATTATAGAAATCCCACCCGATCTTTTTGCCTTCGTTGATCAGAGGGCTCAGTACGTAATAGACTATAAGAGAGTGATAGATCCTATAGTTCAACCAGAACCGATTGAACTTACCCTGGGATCAACCCATGCCTTAGCTGAGGGAGAGGGTATAGCTTTAGCTGAGAGTGTTCAGGAACAAGGGTTACTTGAACATGGTTGTGAGCTAAGAGAAAATGAAAATGAGAGGGGTAATGAGGAGCGGGGAGCCTCTGATCAGCACAGTACTTCAACAGAAAGTACTTCCACAACTTCTTCAAGTTCGGCAGATATTATATCTAATAACGAGGCAGCACAGGGTGATGATCATGATCATGATGACAATGATGATCAAAAAGATGATGATGACAATCCTGCTCAACCGATGCTTTCTCAGAATATTCAAATCGGAGCAGTGATTGAGAACATTGAAGATATCTTTCCAGAAATAGAAGCTACAAAGACATGCCCAAGTCTACAATCACTATCTTTCAATGTTGATGACTTTGGTGGTAGATATGATGATTTTGATCGTATGGTGGATGATGTTTAGGAGATGATGAGGGAGCTTAAGTAGAAAATGTTGAGAGGTTGAGTGTAAGGGACGAAGAAAAAGATGGTAAGTGTGAGAGTAGAGCACAAAATCAAGAACAAGCTCCTATCTCAGCTGAAACAGATAGTCGGGCACCCACATCTACTGTCGACATTCATTCGTTGAATGTTGGTATTGAAGAAGACATAGCTAGCCCAGCTATGCATTTACACACCCATCCCGACCACTCAACTGGTTCTCAACAACCAGTTGTTTCAATTCATCACGGGGATTTAACATATACTCTATCTACTTCTCACTCGGAGAATGTAGATATTGAAATAAGTAGGCCACTGCCCCAGCTTACGACTTTGATTCTGTGCACCTCGAGTATAGAGCCCATACACATAGGTACACAAGAGTCAAGAGCATCTATTGCTCTAATTGCGGTTCTTAGTGAACCTGCCGGAACAACCGGAGTGGTGTCTATTGACCTACCACGAGGACAAGTTGGAATTCCTACCAGTGCTAACATTATGCCAACACTTAACGTAGGCACAACAGTTTATTCAACTATTGTTTTAACTCGTAATCTATGTGATCAAGGAGTGATCTTACCCGACTTCGTGTCAAGGAAATATCTGGACGGCGCCCTAAAGGCTGTTCAAGATAACATGGAAGCACATATCATTAGTGTCAAAAGGATGTTGAAGGGGAAGGAGCCAGTAGTCAATGATCATTCGTCTGTGCCGTCACTACCACATGTACCTGAGCCTCCGAGGGTACAAGAGCAATCGGTGGATGAGCTTAAATCTCTGTTGTATGCAAAGCTGATATCAACATAAAATCCAGATGCGGCTAATGCAGACCAGATTGGGCTCCTCCGACAGCTTGTTGATGATAACCCCATTGTTAGAGCCTTAGAGTTTTTGGCCTTTCAAGATGTAGTTGCTTCTAACTTCTCAAAAGTTAGTAAGTTAATTACATCAAACACTCAAGCCCTAAAAAGTTCAATTGATGCCTTCTCCGAACAGGTATCTATCTTAGAAGAGACGTGTCGATCTCAAGCCACCTCACTGAAAAGAAGACATGATGATCCGGACGATCCTGATCATCATGAGGGGGAGAGAAAGAGACAGAGGTTGGCTGAGTCGTCTGGTTGTGTTCAGAGTGTTGAAAGGGAGCCGATTTCTCAAGCAGTTAACATTGAAAGTCTTGATCCAGAAACAACAAGGGAAAGGACTACAAGCTCAATTATTGCTGAAGATGAGATAGTTTTGGAGACAAATCTAGTGATTGAGCCAATGGTTTTAAAGCCGGCGGACTCCATTGTAGGAACAAGGTTGCTTCTGGATTTTTCTGCCAATGTGGGATTCAATGAAGCGTTTGCTAAAGAATTGGGTGGAGAGCAGGATTTTGGTGAAGACATTGACAACATTGATGAATAAACTGGAATGTATTTTGACTTTGAAGCCGATATTAATAAAGAAGATCTTGTCTTCCCATTCCAGGGTGATCATCAGACTTTGCCTGAACCCTCCACTGTAGTTGATCTTGGTGCATCTGAAACTCCGAGAGCGGCTTATGATCTAACTGAGATATTTTCTAAAAACTATGTGCGGTTTGTAATTCATGCAAATGTTCTAGGCTACGACAGAGCAAGGATCAGAGAGCCCTATCTTGAAGACATTTATTTCGGCATCTTTCTTCGGCATTGGAAAGCTCTTAGCGGTGACAAGATTCTTGGGATTCATAAAGAAACCCGAGACTATCGTTTAGAGTACAAGCATTTTCTCAGGGCAAAGCGTCTTCCAATCAGCCAAGTTTGAACTAAACAACGAGTCGTCTCATTCAAACAATTTGACGCCCAAAGACTCTTTAGAGTTTGGTATCCTGTGTTCACCATTACACGACAAGATGGACAGGTCTGGGTATTTAGCGAAGCTGATTTCTCTAACTTGTATTTAGAAGACTTGAAGCACATGTGCCACGAACTACAAAATATGACGGTCAGAAGAGAAGGAGCAATTGTGGCTCTTAGTGCTATCAAAAGATATATGCGGAGTCACGTCAAGGTATCAATGGTTCTTGATATTCAAATGGGTCTTGAAGACAATCAGAAGATCATTAATCTGAAAAGACCAGATCAAGAGCTTGAAGATATTGAAGGCTATCCTCTGTATATTGTTCTTGAAGAACCAGAGTTCGGCATGGTGTATAGTGCTGAAGGTCGAATAAAGAAGTTTATGAGGTTCAACGAGCTGAAAAAATACTGTGATGGCACTATACGGGTGGGGAGACGGGCACTTGAGACAAGGAAAGCTAACAATGATAAAGCCGCGTAGTCTGAAAAATGAGTCCGAAGGAGAGGTATCTGCTGATCAATGCTTTGGACTTGCTTGATGAAAAATTGCAGTATCAGAGTGCACTAAGGAGGCTAGAGACACTACTCGGACTTAGAAAGACAAGATTTACAAGGTGTTGACCTTGAATCCAAAGGGGAGATGGTTGGGATCAAGAATGTGCTTTATTGTTGTACTCAAGTTCTCCCTTTTGTAATTGTTTTGTAATTGTTAGCCTTTACTATTTTCTTAGTATAAATTGTTTTTAGCTCTCTAATTTTAATTAGTTTAGTTCGTTATAGATTAATTGTTGATTAATCATTGTAGAAATTCTCTCAAGAAACACATTTCAACTTTGGTGATAAATCTCTCTATTAATCTTGATTCAAGTTCTTGAAGATTTAATCTGATTTGTATGATTTTGGGAACATCACAAATCACTTTTCAACTTCCATCATCTTTTCCTTCTCTTTCTTCAAAACTTTCCTTTCAGCAATCAAAACCTTTTCAGCTTCTAATACCTTATCTTTCTCCTGTTCCAGTAATTTCCTTTCATTAACAACTCTCTTGTCAGCTTCATGTAGTTTCTCAATTAGCTCCTCAACCTCTTTATTCTTATTTCCTTGAGAATTCCTTTCAGCATTTAGTTCATTTTCAATTTTTCGGAGTTTATTAACCAAATCTTGCTTAATTTTGTTTGAACTTCTTATTTCATCATCTAACTCTTTTCTTTTAGAATCCAAAGTGTTTTGAAGATCTTTAATCCAATACATGAAAATGTCTTCAATACGTTCTCTAGTTTCTTTATTCTCCCTTCTTAAATTTTCAACAAGTTCCTCGTTAGCATGATTTTCATAAAACATATTCACATATTTTTCTTTATAATCATGCATACTTTTCTTCAATCCACAAATCCTTTCTTTCAAATCCTTACTTTCCTTTTCGACAAATGATGCCATTTAAAAAATTAACGATTGATCAAAAAGAATCTATGCAGTAAATGAAATTGATTAAAGAAAACACTTTCCAAAAATATCACAAAAATATTATTCAGATCAAAAACTCAGTCTTCGCAAAATTTTTAGAAAATAAAAAATTGTTCAGTTTGAAAATTTTAGACAAAAACAGTCAACAACTGTTCAAGATGATGACAGATCTCGAAAAAATTCAAGTCCAAATCTGGTTGTGTCCAAAGAGGGAGTCCAGACAAAGTTTAAAAGAAGTAACCAAAAATCAGTCAAATATAAGAATCCGGATAAGAGGTGATGCAAGGTAGCTAGATCTCGGACAAGGTGGTATCCAAGAAATGAAGCAAAACGGCTGAGTCCTGACCAAGAACGAGTGATACACGGACAAGGTAGAGCTCGGTCAAAGTCGTTATCCAAGAAAAGTACTACGGCTGTCTTGACCAAAAAAATGAAATCCGGATGAAATGGTGTTCGAGGATGGCAAGAACTCGGCTAAAGTGGTGACCGAGAAATGCCTAAATCGGATGAGCCTGCTTTCGGGAAAAACTTGAATTTGGCTAAGTCTTTGGCTGAGGATGGTCAAATCCGGACAAGGAGATGTGCGAGGAAGCTAGATCTCCGGGTGAGGCTGTGACAGAGAATTACAAGAACTCGGCTAGACTTGTGTCCGAGAAATAACAGAATCCAGATGGTGTGATGTGAGTAAGATTTGAACTCAGACAAGTCTTTGTCCGAGGATGTGTGAGCTCGGCTAAGCTTTTGACAGAGGTAGCTTGAATACAGATGCAACGATGACCGGGGATGCCTTGAACTCGGCCAAGTTGGTGACCGAGAATGGTTAAGTCCGGCTAAAGGGTGTCCGAGTATGATGTAACCGGATGAAGCTGTATGCGACTAAGACTTAAATCCGATTAAAGAGTATCCGGGAATGGCTATGAATCTGGCTATCTTTGTACGAGAATGACAATGTTCAATCGGCTAAGTCAAATTATAAGACAATATCTGAATTAAAATATCACAAACACAAAATTTTTAACTTTTTCACCAAAAATGGATCAAAATCCAGATTTTTATGAGTTTTTGAACAAGAATACATAATTTTTAGAAACCACAAATTTCATCATATATTTAAAACAAATGATCAAAACACGAAATCTTGTGAATAACAAAGATTCACAAACCAAAACCGCACATAATGATCATCTTCTTAACATACAAACATCAAAAAATAAAAGATTTGAGTAGAAAAATATGAAGAAATGATAAGAACACTCAAGATAATTTTATGAAGATGAAGAACATATGCGAATTTTCAGAAAATTTCGAACTTTTTAATGATTTTCTTCAACCAAAATCACTACAAACACGCTCTGATACCAATTGATAGTCCCAATCTTCAATCAATCTTCAAGAATCATCTTCAAGAACAAGATAAATGGCAAACTTCATGATATGGGTTTAGAGAGAAAAAGTCAAATGATCAATATGTATATTATTCCCCTAAAACTCACAATTACAAGTAATATAACAATTTAGCTCCTAACACTAAAACTCCCTTACAAGACCTATTTATATGTCAAATTAAAAATAGAAAAGTCAAAGTCAAACCCAAGACTTATAAAGTCAAACTTACAAGAAATACAAATAAATCTTTCAAGGATGAATACAATTAAAGTCTAAAATAAAATCCTAACAGACTACGTGTCAAAAATCTAAGTATTTGATACATAACCCGACTCAAGACACGGAGCCTTTACACTATACATGCAGAGCCTCTGGTTCTCCTAACTTTTCCTTGTGCATAAAGCTTCCACAACACATCTTACAAGTGTTCCAATCCCAGGCCGACCCATTTACAAAAATGCTTACTTCAATCAAGCAACGTGGAGGCAGATGATTGGTGGACGTGTTGACTTTTCCTATTTTCTAAATTATAGAAGATTCCTTTTCAGGATTACTTATAAAAGGATATTTCCTCCAAGGAAAATAGGTTACCAATTATTACTATATTGAAGACGTGTTCCTTGATATTTGAGAGAGATAGCTTTAGTACTTGTGAGAAATTTAGCTTGTTGAGAGATTTTTGTACACAGACTTGTGCATGTTCTTGGTGTTCTTGACATTCTCATTAGCTATTCGAATACAGCCGACTTGTTTAATACTTCAGCATTTCTGTGTTTTATTCATTTCCACTTAACCAATTAATTTCATAGTTATTGCTTCCGCTCATATATTGACTCAAGATGTGATTGTTAGTACAATAGAGGATCTGGGCTCTTACATTTCTACTGCAGAGGAAACACATTCTTCTGTGGGGATAGGTAGCATGGTATTAGGAAACATACCACTTATAGATTTAAAGGCATCACCCTTTTGAGAGGATGATCCCTAATATGTGGGTTCCCTTTGGTTGTGTTGACCAGAGACAGATGCCTCATCTAGTCGGCTTGATAGGTAGGGTTCATGGTGTGTACCTCTTGTTTAATAGTCCTTTTTGCTCGACCAACTAGACTACGAGATTTGCATGCACTAGGGGTTGGCAAGGAAAAGTATATAAGACTGCCTCAAGGGGCATCTTTTCGCATAGTTTCCTCTCCTTCTCCCTCTGGATCTATAAAGAGTTCCCTTTCTAACATTTCTCTCTTTTCTCGCTTTCTTCTCCTCTCCTTTTATTTTCTTCTCTTCCCTCTATGTTTTCTTTTCCTTCTTATCCCTTTTCTTCTCTTCCTTCTCTCTTTCTTTTCTCTATCTATCCTCTCTTTTTTTCTTGTTTTATTTTTGAGCTCTATGCTCCCTTTCTAACTTTATGCTAACTCCCTCTGTCTCACCCTTTTCTCTGGCTTGACCTATATGTGTGGGGGTTTGAATAATAGGTTGAAGTCATCTCACTACATGTTTGTACTCTCCTCTTAGGCTCTTTGTCTTGATGTACTTATGTAGCTTCTAAGACAAAGGTCTCTCCTCTAGGTAGCCATCCATGTGAGCGGTTGGACAGTAGGAAAATAATACATGAACAAGTGCCATCAGTTCCTTGTCATGAGGGATGTTTTGGTTATCGAGTCTGGGTCTGAGTAGGAGGCTGAGGAAACGAGGAAACAACAATGTCGGTAAGTCTTTGCCCTTTGACTTGTCGAGGACCTTCTAGGCGACAGCAGCTCTGAACTCGGTGTATAGGATCAATGAGTAATCCAACGGCAGATCAAAGTAGATCCTATAGATGAGTTGGAGCATGATTTTGCTACACATATCCATGCTCCCAATCTTCCCAGTCAAGGTCCAGTTGATGATTGTGAAAAGAACATTCCACATTGGCGGTAGAAATTGTCTTCGAAACTAAGATGGAAAATTTGTTGGTCGACTGTAAGAAATAAATTTTAGGAAACCAACTATTTTGTCTCCTATGGGAAGTGGGGCGTACACAGAAAGGTTAAGGTTGGTTTTCATTGGGATTTAGAGCACCAACAAAAACAAGGATCTAGAAATCATGATTTCACATTTTTGGTTTAAGGTTAGGACGAAGAACTCACCAATAATACCTAGTCGTTCTTCATTGTAATCACACATTTGCCAGAATTCTTGACGAACCTTTCTGAAACTGTTTCATCGTGGTTAATTAGGGTTCCCTTCTAGAAATGGTAGTGAAGAATTTCGATGACGGAATGGAATTTTTCATCAAAGTTTGTCAGTGTGAGGTCCACATCATGATTATTGGGCTTTAATGGAAGTGGGATAACTGCAATGCTAGTTCCTTCATTTGATTTTAAGTGGCTTGTTTCATTGTGAGAGTTATCAAATTCGGAGTCGGAATAGTTCGACATTTTTGAGAAAAGTGTAAGAAGAAGATGAACAGTGGAAGCAGGTTCTTGAAGATTAAGTTCAAGTTCTTGAGGAAGAAGAAGTTCTTGAGTGTGAATGTTTTGAAAGTGTAAAAGAAAAATTAGGGCTTTTCGTCGTTTAAATAAGCAAGAACTATGGGTACTTGAGTGCAAAATTAACCCAAATGACGTAAATTTGAAATGAATAGCATATGTCATGTAGGGAAAGGACACGTGCCTGACAATTGCAGAGTTTAAATGTTCGCCGCACTTTTTTTTGTTTGAAAAATTAGCATGATAGGACTGTCACTTTCAAAATAACCCGCATCCTCAATCTGAGTGTGAAAAATACCCAAGTGTTTTCAACCAGAGGAGAACTTGTACAGACTAGAACTCTAGATATTGAGATGGGTTGTGATAATCGGGTTTTGGTTATACACTTGAGGTAATTTTTATGTGATTATTTGATTATATGGATATGTGCATATATATATATATGTATGTGTGTGAGTGTGTGAAAATATGTATACATGAGATTGCTAATATGCATATGTGTATGCATGTTTTATATGTTAACATGCATGATATATGGAAAGAAAATATGCATGTATGTATGCATGATTTATATTATGCACGGTGATGTGGAGGTGTTTGTGTGTGTGCATGAGGATTGTGAAAGGAAGAAGATGTTTTTTAATGATTTCTTCTTCACCTCCTTTTCAGGATTTTTATATATTTTCTTTCCTAAACCGCCTCTTATGACAATAATATAAAAAGAAGGTTTCTTTGAGGAAAGGTTTTCTACCAAAATCTGGAAAGAAAAACAGAAAGAGAGAAAGTTGGTGAGAATTCTTGCTAAAAGAAGAAACTGGGATTTTAGATTATTTGGGTAGCAAAACCCTTGTTGTTGTCTTCTTCTATCCAAACCAGCGAAAGGCGAGTTTTGTTTTAAATAAAATAGTTTTTGAATTTGTTAAGATTATTGGTTTTGTGTGGAACTAATGGTGTAATTGTGTAGTTTGTATGTATTTGTTTTTGTGAAGATTTTGGGCCGATAAATCAGACAGTATGTTGTTCGATGAGGGTTTCTTGTTCGACCAAGCCTTGACCCGTGAAGTTGATTACCAGACAGTGTTGTTAGATGAGAGTGTATCGGATAGATTGTGACCGGTGAGG